AATTTTTAAAAAAGCAAATGGGTTATAGAGGATGTCAAAACATGTCAGTGTGACATAATTTTCTCAGTAATGCTACTTACACAGGAAGCAAAATTTACTAAGACTTAAAATAAAATCACTAAAAATTGAATAAAAGTTTTGGAGAATTAATTCTGAAGATCAATAAACATACTTAGAATATTCTTAATATGTGTAACATTCAAACCTCTCTCAAGTGTTAAGTAAAACTCAGTGAACAGGCATCATCAGAAGCCACCTGCTCCTTCTTAGTAATTTGCTCAAGAATCCTCAATAGGGGTTAGCTTGCAACTTCCACCATCTTACAACAGAGTTCAGTGGATTATCCACGATCAACAAGAGTGGTGGCCTTCTGAGGTCTATCACAACGTTATCACAGGCAGAGAGAAACCATGCTCTTGACTCTCAGTATTCATTAAAAGCATATTATTTCATAAATGTAAATATTTCCAAAAACCAATGACAGTTTCTGTAGTGAGGAAAATTAAAAATATGTAAATTTATTTTCATTGGTAGAAAAGAGTTTTCAAAAATAGATTCACTTATTTTGACTTCCTGAGGAAGGAAAGGCCCCACAGAGTAAGAAAAAGGGAAGCCTTCCCTCCCCCCTCCCCAGGTAATTTAGCAAAATTTAAACTTCTTTCACTTGACAATTTAAAAACAAAATGTGATGTCTGGTCTAAGTTATTTCATTAGCTATAGAAGAATGGCAAATAATGTAAGTCCAATTAAGCTTTACTTCAAATATTTTGTATCATTTTTGCCCAGTATAATTAAATAGCTTAATTTTAAATTACATACAGGGATAACTGCTCTACAAAAATTAGTATGTGTAAGACAAACTTTTTGCAAACTTGGAGGAATTACTCTCTTCCTGTTTGAATTACACTTCGATAAGAGAATTACTACTTCTAACCTCACCAAAGAAATTAAACATTCTAAATTTAATTATACTAAATGTAGATAAGATACCTGAATTAGAAATGATGCATAATACTATCTATGTCCTGAACTCAAGAGAGTTTAAGCATTCCCGATTCTTTCTAGGATTTGCCCATCTAGAACAGGTAATAACATAATCTTCATTACGCTTTGGAAGACTCACTGAATTAATTAATTAGCTGTGCTTTCGAAGGTTTACCCCACATCTGTGCAAGTACTTAATTAAATAAGAAAAGCATTACCATCTTCCAGAGGTAGAGGAAGGCTGCAGTTCTCTAAAAGGTGCTGTCAACAGATGACATTAGTAGAAAACTATCCTTCCCTAAATGGAGACAACTCAACTCCTTAAAACAGAAAACAGTATTACAATTTCTGAGGCTGGTAACTACTTATTAGGGGATTGACTACTAATTTTTAAAATATACTAAAACAGCTACATGTATTCCTAAATGTGTGTTTTCTGGGGGCTTGTATGAAAATGGAAATATACATGATGGATTTCTATAGAAAAGTCTTTATCCTGTGTTTCCCTTCATTTCAGATTAATTAATTTACAAACCAAAGTTTCAAGTAGATAAAAACTACCACACCAATTTGGCCAGGTCAAACTTAAGAAGAGACTTAGAAAAAATGTTCTATATTCCTCTTCCAATAAAGTTTCCTTTTTGCGTCTTGAAACGTAGTCAAGAAGATCGGCAGAAAGAGCACACCAAATCCTGTAGGAAGCCGTTGCAGACCTGATTTTCAAATGCAAACGGAAGCCAAGACCAGGTAGCCTGGTGTGTATACAAATTTATACAGTTCTATGTTTGTGTGCATCCATATTTATACATGAAAATGAATGTATCACCCACCTACATTGGCCTTTCCCCTATAAATATGAATACACACAGGATTTATAATCATTAAAGAGCTCCAAATCTGACAGAAGGTCTCCCTCCCACAAGTACGGCTTCTGCACAGGCTTCTCTTGCATGACCTGGAATTTAGGAAAAGAAGATGGTGGGTTGGATGCCATTCCCCTTGAAACATTTTGCTTGGGTTTTTTTTTTTTTTTTTTTTTTTTGAGATAGAACTCACATATTATGAATTTCACCTTTTTAAAATGTACAATTCAGTGGTTTTAGTACATTCACAACATTGTGCGACCATCACCACTGTCTTGTTCCAGAACGTTTTTGTGTTTAGGGTTCTAAAATTTACCAACATAATTCATCTCTTTCTCTGCGGTTGAGATTTAAGTGTTAGATACAGGGGAGTAGAGTGACATCACTTGAAAATGTAGATGTCGGTATCTGTCATAAAATTAGAACACATACTTCGATAAATACAGCAAGAACGTGATGGCTCAGGGCTGCCTCTGCATTGCTGGGTCTTTCATCCCACCTCTGGCTTCCATGCAAGGGGCCTTTTTGTATGCCAAGGGAAACAGCATCAAACTGAAAAATCTCTTAGAATATTTTATTGTATGACATTTCTGGGCCTTTAAAAAAAATTGACCCAACTTTCCTAACTCCCTTGCCATCGTGTGAGCTCGGCGTAGACATGGCATTTTAAGTAGTACAGACCTTCACGGGGGAGGAGGGCTTGTTAGTGAACTGGTCTAAGTTCTGACTTGATGCCCACAAAGATCTTCTCAAGTTATTCTTAAGAATTTGCACAACTAGGTTCCCAGTCCAAGATCTACGAATTATAACGTGCTCATTCCAGGGACACAGATCTTATTCTTGACAGGATTAAATTTAGAAGAGGCTAAGAGGTATTTCTTGAACACTTTCCTACTTTAAGGTCATTATAATTAGTTTCTTAAACTAGGTATCGAGTATCTGAAAGAACAAGCCTGGTGATGGTTGGAAACTATGATGCCAACTATCACCTTGAAAATGTATTTGAGGACTGTAACTTTACTAAGTATATTCCCAATGTAAATATTTAGACATTATTAAAAGGGTACAGAAATACTGGATGTATGGACAAGCTATTACAGTAAGATAAAAGAAATAGTTATAGAGCATATCTGATATGCGTAAGTTAAAAGGAGTATCTGTTTTCAAAACAAAACAAAAAAAGTTTAATTCTACTTTGATCCCGCAGTAAAATGTGAACACACTGAAAGTCTTACGTGTGGGAAGTACTCTTGAACAAATAATATGCACTGTACTGTTCACACGTATCTATGTTGATGTGAAAAGGATTTACGAAACAGTACCAAGTTCAGTCCCAGACTGATTTTAAATGTACGATTTTAGTCTTTCGTTGCCTTCTCTTCTATTTTAAAGCACTCTTCCCAGATTTTATTTGTAATGATGGCAACTAAGAAAATTAGAATGATCATCTAAGCAGTAGGAGGGCTTCATTTAGGATCCTTAAGAATATTTTTAAATTACTGCTTCAAGCCTTCCTAAAGCAGCATGTGACAGGAGCTACATTAAAACTGGTTTTATTGAGGGGGGTTGGTGGTGGTGGAAATGAGCCTCAAACCTTATTCTGTGAGCGCCTTGTGGATTAATAGGTATCTACCAGAGCAGTACGTGGGCTCTTCTTATCAGTTCTTTTACCCGTTCTAGAAACAAGGGGAGAGGCATATTGCTGTCAGGCTACTGGGGAGCAACCCTTGGGAGAAATGAGAAGATAAGCAAGGGACTGGTAGAGCAGATCCCCGCGAGGGGATGTTATTCTAGTAATAATACCTGGGTCATGGCAGGCAGCAGGCTTCAAAAGGCTAATAACCACCATTTACTGAACAGCAGCTCTGCGCGAGCCGCATCACACACGACATCCCTCATCCTCACAGGAGATGTTTAAGCTGATGCATGTTTTACCGATGAGGAAGAAGCATGATAACTAGCCCAGTGCTGAATACCTTTAATACCTATCCCACACTGAACAACGGGCTAAGTATTAACCCCCCCAATGTGTTTAACAAATCCTGTGTTTTTGGTTTTTTTTTTCCTGGAAAGGCAAAATTTGAACTGAGGTCCGACTACAAAATCCACATACTCCTGCCATGCCCCACTTTGCTCCACAGAGGAGAGAAAAGGTACTGTGACTCCGGCTGCCCCTGGTGACCTCTCTGACCACGTGAGGGCCACTCGAGTTATAAGAGCGGCAGTCATCCCGCTGTGGGGCTTTCATTAACAATGCCACCTCAGTACTTTTCCTGGAAGGATATTTTAGCATTGGTGGTGCTCAGTGTGAAAATACAATATTCTCTAATCCCAGGGTTACTGATGTGAAGACAGAGGCAATCGTTAGGCATCTGTAGGAATCTGAGGAATTAAAACATGTTCAAGGGAGACGATAGTATGTCAGCTGGAAAAAATAAGTTCAGAATCAGTGTTTCCGCAGCACTGCATCATGGGAACAGCGTTGCTAACTACCACTGAAGAGGTCTATTCACGTGAATGGCCCAATTTTTTTTTTTAATACTACAGTTAACTAGGATATTAAACTGAAATCAGGTTTGATTCTGAAACTGCAAACTGTACTGAAATGTCACTGTCACTCAGATTTGTGGAAATAAATGTTGCAACAAACACCATTACTGTGCTCCATTATCCTTTGTGGGCTTTATTTTTCCTTCCAAATGAGTTTGTATGTTTAACAGTCGCTACAGAAAGAGGAAAGTCTGAAACATTCTTGTGCCAGGCTTGGAACAGTTCACCTTCTAAAAGTCTTTGTGGACGTGACCGTGCACAGCTAACACAGTCCTTTGCCACTTTCCTTGTTTTCTCATTTTTGAAAGTAGTCGATAGCCACTTTCTCTCTTTCTTTTTCCCTCTCTTTCTCTCAGCTTCTTATGAAGATTCCAAGTAAAAATGCAACAGGTGGAGTTACCTACAAATATACAAACTGAAAGAAAAGAAATATTATGGTTGGCGACTCAAGAGTTTCTTGAAATGAAAACATACCTGGACATTAATCATGGTCAGGGAGCATCTGAGTCAATCAAGAAGGAAAGCGGGGGTGAACTGGCCACTACTGTTCCTTCGGGGTACAGAAGGCACTTGGCTCTCATGGGTGACCCACGCCTCCCCTACCTTGTATCTATCCATTGGGTCTTCCTGCTGCAGCTGACTCTCCCGCATTGTCTGATACTCTTTCTCATATTTCTTCAGTTTCTTGGTTGGTACCTACAGGGATTAGAAGAGAAGCATGTTAGACAAGGACGTGATTTGGGAAAACATTCTCTGATACGGTGGCCAATTAAGACTCCGGCATTCTAAGGGAGCACACCCAACTCAAAGTCGCGGGGAAGGTCTAGATCTGAGATCAGGGGTCTGCAAACTTTTTCTGACAAGGCCTAGATGGTGTATTGTAGGCTCTGTGGGCCCCGCAGTCTAGGTCACAGCTACTCCACTCTGTTGTCACTGCAGACAAGTGGCTGTCATTAGTAATATGTAAACAAACGAAGAGTGGCCATGTTCCATGAAACTATAAACGTCCATTTCTGTGCTGCAACACGCTGTTTCTTGTAAATGTATTGAACAGTGCTATTAATTCTAACTACTTTTCAGTAAAATTCATTCATAGTATTCCACCATGTTGAAAAAAAAATTATTTTATAAAAGGAAAAAACTGAGCAACAAAAATATTTTTAAATAGAGTCAGTATACTGTACCCCAGAGAAAGATTCTATAGGCTGTCACTGAAACTCCCTACAAACAACAGAATCGCTGTGCTGCGTGAGATAATAGATCATCTAAACGACTCATCTATTTCTTACCAAAATTGTGTCATCTTTAAAAGACAGCAGTCTACTGTTTTATGGAGTAAAAAAAAAAAGACTAAGACTTACAGAATCTTAGAATTCTAAAAATAAACTAAGAGTAACACAGAATAAAGGTCAAAGGATTTGGCCCTAGACAGATCAGGGTCTGAACACTTCCTATTTTTTTCTTTTTACTAACTATGAAACCTCTCGGCAAATCGGTACTTAACCTCTCTTGGTCTGAGTTTCTTCATCTGTAAAACAGCAGGCAAACAAATGTCCGCTTCATAATGGCTGTCAGGAGAATTAAATGCTATAAACAGGCAAAGTATCTAAAATACTGCCCTTTCCCTGGAAAATTTTTTTTTAAATATTCAATAAAATTAATGTATTATCATCAGTGATCCATGTAATAGATTAAGTCCACTTCTAGGCTTTCCCTGGATAATCAAAATTATATAATTCCTTTCAACATCAAAATCTTTATTTAATGTTTAGGTGCTAAAGTAAGTTGACTTGAAATGAGGAGAAAGTTTATCTAATTTTTTAAAAGACAACAGATGTGTTATTTTGCTGGATTCTTGGGGACTTGAAGGTAAAGATGTGTTGATGCTTAGTATCCGTTGTCATGAGACCTACCTAAGTCATCGGCCCACAGGAGGCTCTCAGCAGATTGTTTCTTGTCGAGGACAAGATTTGGTATTTAGAAAACATGTAATATGTGCGTAAGAATCTGGCCAGAGAATTTGTTCAATAAAAGCAAAGACGCCATGTGTCATGCCCCTTTGTATTCTAACGACTCTGCTCCTCCATCCAGGAGCATTCTCAGGTACTGGAATTACCTGCTTCTCACCACAACGGGGAAATTTACATACTCATTCCCAACTGGAGACCGTGGAAATCATTCCACAACCACATGATGACAACATTCATCTGGCCGAAGGGGGAGTCTCCCCAGTGAAACAAGAAGGACGGACAGTTTTCAGGGTGTAACTGAATTGCAAAACCACCGCGGAACGTGGTCATAAGAAAGTTAACTTCTCATTAACCATCTCCAGAGACCTCCACCAGTGCACCGGGAGGAACCCACGTGCAAAAGCCCACCTGTGGGCCTCACAATCGTCAGACAGACCAGGAAAATAAATACACGTGGTCATGTGACAACAGAACAGGAGCAACATTATTTCTTCTTGACTTTACTAGGGGGCCTCAGTTTCTTCCAGCTGTCTTTTCTCAGTATGTATTCATCATCTGCTCGGAAAACCAAAAACACTCTTTTTTTTTTTTTCATCTATTTACCTGACAGAGAGAGATCACAAGCAGGCAGAGAGGCAGGCAGAGAGAGAGAGGAAGGGAAGCAGGCTCCCTGCTGAGCAAAGAGCCCGATGCGGGGCTCTATCTCAGGACCCTGAGATCATGACCCGAGCCAAAGGCAGAGTACTTTAACCCTCTGAGCCACCCAGGTGCCCAACCAAAAACACTTTTAAGATGAAGAGGTTTGAGTCCCTAGCACTGAAGGAGCCTGGAGCCGAGGACAAAGGGAAAAAGTCTCAGAGTTCTAAGCAGGGACAAGTGTTTCCAAGGCATTCCTAAGATCAGGATCAAGGGAGAAGTGAGTACTGTGTGGAGGCTACTGTGAAGCCATTTACCGGACCGGAAGTAGGTCGGCATCCCTGCAACTGACACGGGCCGTGAGCGGTACACAGGGCTGGACATCAGTCCTGTGTGGGAGTATTTTCTACTGGCTCTAAAATGGACCCATTCAGCAATGACTGCATTACACACTGCAACCTTATTTCTAGAGAATTTCTTCTAAAACCATATTTTTAAAATTCGAAGTGTTACAGAATTATTTTTTTCCATGTAAAAAAAGGTCCTTTAAAAGTCAATCTTGCTACTTATGTTAAGAGGTTCCTTTCAATGTGAAATTTAAAAAAAAAACGCATTAAACACCCTCAATACGCTAATCCTTTCCCATCTGGCTGAAATGCTAGGATGTTTGGCTTCATCTTGTTCAGGGAAACAGTGCAGGTTCCCAGAACAATATGTTGCTAGGAAACCTGCCCAGCTTATTTATCTTGTGCTGTGGGGTGACACTGAGCATCCACCTGTGATTGGCACAAAGTGAGGGGGGCGAGAGGGAAGGAGGACGGTGAGCTGATATGAAACTGTTATTTATGAGATAATCAAAGAACATAGGCTGTCATGGTGTTTAAAGCTGTATTTCAGGACAAAATTGATTTTATTTTAGGGACTGTAATATTGAGCTTGAAATGTTTCTTAGCGGAGCAAGGAATAAAATACCTCTTTAGTGCAGTTTTAATTAAAAGAACAGAAAGCCATTAAGAATTACTAGAACTGACCCAATTATTATCTCAAGAGTAATACAGGTATGTCTCCCTTTAAGTTAAATATTTTTAATATAACTGTGCACTTGAAGAATCACTGATCCTTTCAAATGTTTACCTAACGGGGGGTGAGGGAGCTTCCTCCAATACACCGTCCAACCTCTACCCACCCAATACCTCCTATTTGACTAAATTCAGGAAATGTACTCAAAGAATCCACAATTATTTGATAAGTGCAACTGAAAACGAGCGTTCACCAACTCAAAATGGTATTTATTAAAAACAAACAACACCGAAAGAGAAAAACTCTGGCAAGACAATCCCAAGTATGATAGCAACCATTTTAAATGATCAGCCAAGACCTGACATTTTGGACTTGACAGCTACATGAGGAAGTCAGCATTTAAAACAGAAGCAGTGTTTTAATGTTTTGAGTATTTCACGGTATTTAGATTATTTCATAATATGTTTAATCCTGACATTTAAATTTGTAACGTAACCATTTACTTAGAATTCATAAGCTGGAGCTGGAAGGACCTTTGGAGACTGTCTGTCGGGTACGATCCCTGCTTCAGAATGAGAAAAGTGAACCCAACGTGGCTGAGAACACTGAACTGAGACCCCTTAGTGGCAGAGTCATCTGGGATGATCTGGGATATCTGGAATATGGGTGGGTCCACCGTCTCCCTGGCCTGTACTCCCTTCTGGTACTGGGCTGTCAAGAGAAGTGTATTTCCCAAATATTCCTTTAGTCATGTGAATGCCATTTTCATTTTTTTCTCTGCCATATCCAAACACATTTTTCTATTATTTTTCCTTAAATCAACTGATTTTCTTACACAATTTTACAAGAAAAATATTTTGGGAGCAAGAGTCAATACAGACAACTGTGGCAGACAAAAAAATGCGTCCCCCCCGCCATGTCTGCATCCTAATGCCCAGAACCTCTGAATATGCTTCCTTCCATGGCAGAATGGATTCTGCTTGAGATTAAGGTCCTCGAGATGGTGAAATGATCTTGGACTTTCTGAATGGGCCCAACAAAATCCTACAAGTCATTAAAAGAGGAGAACTTTTGGGGCAGGTGGGTGGCTCAGTTGGTTAAGCACTGGCCTTCAGCTCAGGTCATGATCCCAAGGTCTTGGGATTGAGCCCAATGCTTTGGGCTCCCTGCTCAGCAGGGAGACTGCTTCTCCCATTCCCTCTCCCCGTCCTCCGCCCTCGTTCTCGTGTTCTCTCTCTCTTTCTCCTTTTCTCTTTCTCTCAAATAAATGAAATGTAAGGAAAAAAAAAAAGAAAAAAGAGGACAACTTCTCCAGATTTCAGTCAGAGGTGATGTGACTACTGAAGAAAAGCCAAAGAAATTCGATGTTGCTGGCTTTTTAGATGCAGGAGGAAGTGAACTTGGGGAGCCTCGAGAAGCTGGAAAAGGTGAGAAGAGCCTTCAGACAGGAGCGCAGCAGCCCCGCTGACACCTTCATGTTAGCCCTGATGAAACTGGTCAGATTTCTAACCTACAGAACTGTAAAATAATAAATGTATAAAGCTCTTCCAAGCCTCTAAACCTGTAGTTATTTGTTGGGATAACAAAAGGAAACGAATCCAATAACATATTACAAATCATAACAACTATCAATTAAACTACCAAATGTTTACAAACAAAACTCAGTAGAAAGTCTTCATACTTTTGCTGAAAGCAAGATAAAAAACCTTCCTGCCCCCTTCATTTTACAACCAACTGCAAATTATGTCAATATGAAATAACCTGGATACTGTCAGCTCTGGTGTTAACCAACAGCAGAACAGCAGTAAGCAGAAGATAAAAACAACTCCATCCCAGCCAGTGTGTGAATTCATTCAGTCCCTTCCTGGCTTCTCCCTCTTACCACTAAATGGCAACTAGTTGTGGCATTTCTTAAACTGTACTTGGTTTTTGCTAAGGATCAGCACAATGTCCCCTAATATTTTCTACTACATTTTATCATATTCCATTTTTAAAATGCCTATTCAGACCTTCTAAGGCAATTTCATGAGCAGGACTTGAAGGACATGCACTCAATCAAGGAGGCTTTTT